TCTGTCCCGTGGCCTCCTCTTGCACCTAGCCTGGTACAGCAGTAACCCACGGCACCTGCTGGGTCTGTCCCGTGGCCTCCTCTTGCACCTAGCCTGGCACCGCAGTCAACCCACGGCACCTGCTGGGTCTGTCCCGTGGCCTCCTCTTGCACCTAGCCTGGCACAGCAGTCAACCCACGGCACCTGCTGGGTCTGTCCCGTGGCCTCCTCTTACACCTAGCCTGGCACAGCAGTCAACCCACGGCACCTGCTAGGGTCTGTCCCGTGGCCTCCTCTTGCACCTAGCCTGGCACACCAGTCAACCCACGGCACCTGCTGGGTCTGTCCCGTGGCCTCCTCTTGCACCTAGCCTGGCACACCAGTCAACCCACGGCACCTGCTGGGTCTGTCCCGTGTCCTGCACCTAGTCTGGCACAGCAGTCAACCCACGGCACCTGCTGGGTCTGTACCGTGGCCTCCTCTTGCACCTAGCCTGGCACAGCAGTCAACCCACGGCACCTGCTGGGTCTGTCCCGTGGCCTCCTCTTACACCTAGCCTGGCACAGCAGTCAACCCACGGCACCTGCTGGGTCTGTACCGTGGCCTCCTCTTGCACCTAGCCTGGCACAGCAGTCAACCCACGGCACCTGCTGGGTCTGTCCCGTGGCCTCCTCTTGCGCCTAGCCTGGCACAGCAGTCAACCCACGGCACCTGCTGGGTCTGTACCGTGGCCTCCTCTTGCACCTAGCCTGGCACAGCAGTCAACCCACGGCACCTGCTAGGGTCTGTCCCGTGGCCTTCTCTTGCACCTAGCCTGGCACAGCAGTCAACCCACGGCACCTGCTAGGGTCTGTCCCGTGGCCTCCTCTTGCACCTTGCCCGGCACAGCAGTCAACCCACGGCACCTGCTGGGTCTGTCCCGTGTCCTGCACCTAGTCTGGCACAGCAGTCAACCCACGGCACCTGCTGGGTCTGTCCCGTGGCCTCCTCTTGCACCTAGCCTGGCACACCAGTCAACCCACGGCACCTGCTGGGTCTGTCTCGTGTCCTGCACCTAGTCTGGCACAGCAGTCAACCCACGGCACCTGCTGGGTCTGTCCCGTGGCCTCCTCTTGCACCTAGCCTGGCACAGCAGTCAACCCACGGCACCTGCTGGGTCTGTCCCGTGACCTCCTCCTCATGCACCTAGCCTGGCACCGCAGTCAACCCACGGCACCTGCTGGGTCTGTCCCGTGGCCTCCTCTTGCACCTAGCCTGGCACAGCAGTCACCCACGGCACCTGCTGGGTCTGTCCCGTGACCTCCTCCTCCTGCACCTAGCCTGGCACAGCAGTCAACCCACGGCACCTGCTGGGTCTGTCCCGTGACCTCCTCCTCCTGCACCTAGCCTGGCACAGCAGTCAACCCACGGCACCTGCTGGGTCTGTCCACGTGACCTCCTCCTGCACCTAGCCTGGCACAGCAGTCAACCCACGGCACCTGCTGGGTCTGTCCCGTGACCTCCTCCTCCTGCACCTAGCCTGGCACAGCAGTCAACCCACGGCACCTGCTGGGTCTGTCCCGTGACCTCCTCCTCCTGCACCTAGCCTGGCACAGCAGTCAACCCACGGCACCTGCTGGGTCTGTCCCGTGACCTCCTCCTGCACCTAGCCTGGCACAGCAGTCAACCCACGGCACCTGCTGGGTCTGTCCCCGTGACCTCCTCCTCCTGCACCTAGCCTGGAACAGCAGTCAACCCACGGCACCTGCTGGGTCTGTCCCGTGACCTCCTCCTCCTGCACCTAGCATGGCACAGCAGTCAACCCACGGCACCTGCGGGTCTGTCCCGTGACCTCCTCTTGCACCTAGCCTGGCACAGCAGTCAACCCACGGCACCTGCTGGGTCTGTCCCGTGACCTCCTCCTCCTGCACCTAGCCTGGCACAGCAGTCAACCCACGGCACCTGCTGGTCTGTCCCGTGGAACTCCTGCCAGCAGCCAGCCTTTCACACTTCACGTGGCCTCAGAGTGCACCCAGCCTGGCACAGGCGCCCCGGTCAACTTAGTGGCGAGTGTGGCGTCCGCTGTTGGTAATTTGTACAACGAAACGCCGCGTGTCACGGGTTCGATTGTACGGGGGATGGCGCCCCCTCCTGGATCCCAAGCAGCCCCCCCCCCCCACCCTCGTCACCCCCCCCCCCACGTCTCCCCCTTCTTCCATGTGCGATCAAGTATTTCATTCGCCCCGTAGCTTCACTCCGCAGCTCACAACACAGCCCGGCTCAGTCCCACCGGCACTGTCCTGGGGCACACACACACGCACAAACACACACGCACACGCACGCACACCACACGCACACACCACACGCACACACGCACACACACGCACACACACGCACACACGCACGCGCACACACGCACACGCGCACACGCACGCACACACACACGCACGCACACGCACACACACGCACGCACGCACGCAACACACGCGCACACACACGCACACACGCACACGCGCTCACACACACACGCACACACACACACGCACACACGCACGCACACACGCGCACACGCGCACACGCACACACGCGCACACACACACTCACACGCACGCACACACACACACGCACACACACACACAAACGCACACACACGCACACGCATGCGCACGCACACACGCGCACAAACACACACACGCACACACACTCACGCTCCCCCTACACGTGCACACAACAAAGACAAAGATCCTCTTCATAGCCTTAACAGACTGTTGGGGCAAGTGCTGTTCGCGAGTAGCAGCACCCTACGAAGGCCGGCACTGTGGTACACGAGGGGGTGGGGTAGCCAGCACCACGCCCGGCCGCCTTTGTCTTCCCAGTGTCGATGTTTACAACACACCGCACCAGGTACTCATTTGAGGCTGAGTCGCCCTAGGGGAGGCCCCACTGAGTCATTGGCGGTGTATTGTATCTTCAGAATCTGGAGTGATGGGCCGATACCCAGTTGCACTCTCGGAGTCTCAAGACGAGTTTGACCATTTGCAGGAGAGTCCTGCTCCATGATGTTATTTGACCCAATTCCATTCATCATCAGCTTCATATAGTTATCTTTCCCTGGTCTCTGGCAGATGTTACCTCCTTCCCCATCCACCCCCCTTCCCCATCGCCCCCCCCTCCTTTTCCCATCGCCCCCCCTCCCTCTCTCCACCGCAGCGTCACTGTTCACAGCTCACCCTTTGCCTTATCTCTCTCTTGCTCTCTCTGTCTCTCTCTTTCTCTCTCTGTCTGTCTCTCTGTCTGTCTGCCTCCGTCTCAAACTAAACCAACTCTCGCCCTGCCCTCTTGACAGTCTCACTCCCTCCGACGGCCCACACAGCCCCGCCCCCCTCCCTCCCCCAAATGGCGCGGCTCACGAGTGAGCGCGCAAGCGCTGCAACTGCGCCGACG